CGCTCCGTTTGTTGTGTTTGAGAGAGATGCAGCTAGAGGCGAGTGTACCCCTAGAGATTTTCAGAGTATGCCTTTTAATGGGACAAATACTGTACACTTTTAGAAATAAAATAGAAATGTGACAAAAGGTTACATCGTAAATCATCAAAGAAATATTACACTTTAAATAAAGAAATGTGAAATTGCGAAACTTTAGGGCACAGGGGGCATGGGGAGTACCTTTGCCCCCCTACAGAAAATTTTCTGCGTACGGCCTTGTTCTGAATAGTTTTCGATGTTATCTTTGCATTTTTTTACTTAAAACTACTTAGTAGTACTATTACTATATTCTCTCTGGCAATTAAGAGCCCACTCATTTGGTCTAAATTTAGTAAAAGTAAGTACTACTGGCACAGGGGCGTGTACAGGGGGGGGGGTCCAGGGCGTCCGAGACCCCCCTGCTCGCGCAGGAAACGCATCTGAGGGAGTCTAATTCATAAATTTCTGGGAGGGCCCCAGACCCCCCCCTTCGCGTGCTCCCAAGAAAAGTTGCCCCTAACAAAATCTCAAAGTGCCCTTTCCCACCTGCACCCCCCCTAGACAAAATCCTGCATCCGCCCCTGAGCTTGGGGCATACTCCTCAATAATAACAAAGCTCTACGAATTATCCGGTCTAAATCGCCATTGACCTTCACTTATTCATGCTATCATTTAGTCTGACGTAAGAATGGTCATCTGTTATTGTAGCGTTGGATATAATGTTCCTCGATTGAGAGATAGTAAATTTTACGAGGTTACGAGGTTATCGCTTTCTTTTGAACTAGTGCCCTTCCTATATACCTTTCGTCCGACCAATACCCAGTTTTTGAAGGACGTACGCAGCCCTGTCTCTCTTTATACGTTCTGTTTATAATCTGCATGAAACATGTTTGGCAGTTCTAATGCGAATAACAACAGTTCAGTTATGCTATGACTAGTTCTATATGGCTTACCGAGATCAACACATGCATGACAAACCTCTTATTGAGGATGACTGGAAATGACGTTCACGACAAAATCTACCAATCCAGGGTCTGCCCCGATGACCTACTAAACTATGTATGTGATTTTGTGCCTATACATGTGGTACATGTACGTTCGGCTGCTCAATACCGCAATTTCTAGTGTCGGCGTCACGGTAGTGAGTCGAAAGATTATATACTCTACGCCAGGCGCGTAGCTAGGATTTTATTTTAGGGGGGGGGGCGGCAATGAGCACGTGAAGTGTGCGAATCAGGGGGTAGATCATCAAGCTGCGTACGCAAAATATTTTGCGTAAATCTTGTGTACGCAATCGACGTTGCTTAGTTGCGATTCATCAACACGCGCTATTTAGTAAATTTTTCTACGATTCGCGTACGCAAGCGAGGCCGTTTTAGGTGCGATTCATCAAGCTAAATTTACGTAAAACTTTGCGTAACTTTACACGAGCTGACGAGGTGCCGTAAACCACTCGAGAATTTCCGCAGGTGTTTCCAGCATACCGCAGCATGCATTATTTTATTGAGAAAATATTATAAATTACTACTCAACTAAAAATAAATAAATAATTACCATACTACACAGACAGGCGGCGCCTTTTGACGCTTCTTTTGTTATAGCTTGGTGCATTGTTTTCGTTATAAGCGAGTTCGTAATTAGCCGTTACATGCACACGCACGCACGTGTACGTGCACAGCACGCACGCCACGCACGCACGCCCGTGTACGTACACACGCACGCACGCGTACGTGCACGCACGCACGCACGCACGTGTACGTGCACACGCACGCACGTGTACGTGCACACACACGCACGCACGTGCACATGCACGCACGCCACGCACGCACGCACGTGTACGTGCACACGCACGCACGCACGCACGCACGTGTACGTACACACGCACGCCGTGTAGTGCACACGACGAAGCACGTGTACGTGCACACACACGCACGCACACGTGCACATGCACGCACGCACGCACGTGTACGTGCACACGCACGCACGTACGTGTACGTGACCTTTTGTCACATTTCTATTTTATTTCTAAAAGTGTACAGTATTTGTCCCATTAAAAGGCATACTCTGAAAATCTCTAGGGGTACAACTGCCCCTGCTGCCCCCCTGCTGCGTGCGGCCCTGATTCAGAATGAAATTATTGAAGCAAAATTAGAGGGGGGTTATTACCCCAGGAGGGTACCAGTCTATAACAAAGCAATCAACGGTGGTATCATAGCATTATATGTGCCTGTATTTCGTTATATAGGAACTATAAGTATAATGCTTCAAGAAGGAAAACTGGTCCGCTGGCTTCTCCTTTTTCTGGGAGACTGGAGAGTGTTGCTGACGCTTTTCACTGCCACGGTCATACTGTATTTCATGATGAGAAAAACGTACCGGCTACCACCTGGACCAATGCGTCTTCCCATCATAGGAAACCTTCATCGTGAGTAAAAGTGTGATCACGGTCAATCCTGACTAGCATATAACTGTGATGAAGATCGTTTGGTGTTAACGTTACTTCAATACTGAGAGTACCCTTAAAATTGCACCAGTTAAATTGAGGGAGTACTGCGCCGGAATAACACAACGTTATTAAATAATTTTAAATGGTTTTCTACATTTCAGAGACGTATTACTATTCCCCACTGTACAAATACTGCCATGAATTGGCATCAACATATGGACCTGTGATTCGGCTCAACTTTGGTCTCGTTCCCTGTATCATCATTAATCGTATGGATAACGCGATTGAAGCACTAGTGACCAAACAGAATGACTTTGCTGGACGTTCAAAAAGCTGGACGGGTAAACAAGAAGTGCTTCAATAATCTATATGAAAACTAGCGCAGGTTGAGTTAGTATAGTATGTATATAGTATATAGTATAGTTCCTATTTTATAAGTCAAAAAGACCACAAGTGCGTTTGTCTCTTAGTGTGCACTATTCGTAGTGTTTGGTGTGATTTGAAATCTGTTGTTGATAGCGGAAACGTTTTCGGAGGGATATAAAGACATTGCCGGAGGATTGTTTAATCCAACTTGGCAGCTGCAGCGCAAACTTGCTCACAGCGCATTCAGGTGAGTGAGTGGCGATTCTATCGCAAAACACGTTTACTATGTTACTATCTGTTCCTAGTGTCGAGTACGGTGTTTGCCTGGTCGTATATCAAATGCGTTTATTCGTTTGGTTAGCATATTCCTATCGAGCTGCGCTGATTGTCAAACAAAACAGCAAAGTGGAAAAGTCCAAAAAATTCACGCTTTTTGTTCACGTTTGGTAAAAGGATGTGTGATCGTATGAGAGAAACATGAATGTGTAGCATATACACCAACGCAAATAATGTAACATTATTTTCCCGTTCGCTCGTCAAGAATACATAATACTCCTTGTCGTTAATTTCGTTCTAAAAATATAATATTGATAGGGTGGGATATAATTCAACCCCGTTTCATTTTTATTGTGCCACGATTTCAGGCACTTTGCCTCTAAGGACGTGTTGGTGCAGAGAATCCACGGCAGCTTCAATGATGTTTCGCAGGTTCTTGATAAAATTGACGAACCCTTTGATCCAAGAAGCTATGTGTACAACTGCGTATATAACATTATCTATGCGATGACGTATGGGAAAAGGTAGGATTTATATATATA